CCTCCTCCGTTCCCGCCCCGCTGCGGTCCCCGCCCTTGGCTGGACTCCGATTGGCATTTGCAAGCGTCGCCCCCCCGCCCTTTCTCTTCCGTGGGCGGCTGTGATGGCCGAGGGAGCGCCTTCCGTTTCCCCTTCCCGGTACCACTCGGAATTCCCATAACCTGACCAGGTCCGGGTTTGCGACCCGCGCGGGTCCTGGGGCGGAACGAAGAAACTGGGCCTGGTGATGTGCCCTCGGGGAATAGACGCGGGAGCGGCACTTGTAATTTTCTGACTGTATTGAACCTCCCAGCAAGCCAAACCAAACGCAGGCTGTGTGTGCGTAACACCGAGGCACTGCCTGCAAATAAGTGCCTGGGGAAACGTTGGCTTTCCTGGGTCCATCGGGTACCCCTGGAGGTGTCGATCTCAGCTGGTATGAAATCAGAAGTTGCATGGATCTTTGTTATGTTTCTTTGAGCCGGTTCCATTGTCTGCCTGTTCTGGGAACTGTTTCCAGGCAGCTTCTCCCCTGTTCATCCTTAGCACTAATTTATTTAATCTTATATATGTGTGTGTTTCCATACCACCAATGTTTGTAGTTGTTGAATAAATAGGTGCTAGTTATGTGATAGCATTTTAGGTTTGCTTCCTTCCCACCCACCCCCCTTTTTTTTTCTTTTCATCCCCATCTCTGTCATTAGGGTCTCTTTTTCTAAATAACTCGTTTCTTTAAAAATATGTCAATTAATATAATGACTTTTAAATACATATTATATTCTTAAATACATTCCCCAAAGTTTTAATAAAAATTTCTGTCGTTTATAAATGGATAATGGATTTCGTCAAATTTATAACTGAAGTTACCCATTTAAGTTTTCCCTGCAGACTGTTTATTGATCTCACATATTTTCTTCTCAGCGCTTGGCATTTTAAATTTTCGCTGAGCTCTGTTTCTGGGCTCCATTAGTCACCCCTACCACAGGCTATTAATGCTATTGTTGGGTTTAGACAGGAAGTGTGGCAGGTCCACTTCTGCAAACATGGAATTTGAACTAGATCATCACAAGTCAGTGCTGTTACAGTCACGGTGATTCAGAACCACCAGCCATCAGCAGGAGGAAGAAGAGACTAACTGCCCCCCTGTGAGTCTGAATTGGTGCACTGCACTGTTTTGTTTTGATTGTAACCAAACCTGGCTTTACAGGCTTACTCTGTAGAAAGTTACCAGTGATTTGGAGACAGTGTGCTGTATTACAATTTTTTCTGGAGTGGGTCTGGCACTCTGGGTAGTAAGCCTTGATAGGATTTCAATTAGAGTATAAGATAAAATGGCAGTGATACCACCCGTATTGTATATCTCTCAGAATTATTGCTTGGAACCTGATGAGAGCATTAATGTTAAAAGTGATTCAAAACCAAATCCATTGTCCTTGAGTCAGCCTCTAGGATGGAGTAGAACTGCCCCTGTGTTATTTCCAAGGCTGTCAACCTTTATGGGAGCAGAAACCTCATCTAATCTCGGTGGCTGTTGGGTTCAAACTGCAGACCTGGCAAGTTAGCCCAATGTGCTACCACCACCAGGGGTCCCGGTTATAGTGATCCGTAAATATCGAAAGCACTCTTGGAGGAAGCGGTTCTGTTCGGCCGTGCTGGAGTCATGCTGGAGTGGAAGAAGTTATCTGTCAAAGGCAGTGTAGTCAGATCCCTTCAGTTAACCTTGCCTGACATGGGTGACTTAAGTGTGCTTCTACCAAAAAAAACCCTCAGCCACCCACCTACACAGTTCCCTCACTGCAGCCCAAGGCGGAACTGCCTCTGGGGTTCCTAGACTAACTTTTCATGTGAGTGGAAAGCCTCCTCCTTCACAGCACCCTCCTGATGTTTGGAACTGCTGTCTCTGTGATTACCAGCACAGTGTGTAAGCACTAGGCCACCAGGATTCGTGTGCATTACGATAGTATGATATGTTGAGAGCTTACATTCCAAGCTTAGGGTTGGAATATTAATATTTATAACTATGTGTTTATAACGATAACAAGATGGAAAGAGAATATGCTTTAACCATTTTTAAATGCCTCAGCATCTCCAAGTTGTTCTGCATACTAGTCATTTAAAATATGTACCTTTTTGCTCTTTATATTTGTCTTGTCTTGCTTTGTTTTTACAGTTTTGAGAAAATGCAGCACCATTTGAGTTCTTCTTGGGATTTTGGTCTTAACATTTCTCATAAAGCACCTCATTTCATTCTTAAAAATCTATATGATCTTGCCCTCAAGGGAGATGCTACAAGCAGAGTTTTTACAGGAGTGTTTTGGTGATCTTAAGCATAGGTTAGTCTAAAGTATTTTCTTTTTTTTTTGTCTAAAGTATTTTTCTATGTGCTACCAGTATTGCCAGCCTCAGAGGGGGGAAAATCAAACCTACAGTGGGTTGAAATGTGGAAGTGGGAGACTTGGCTGAGCATGACCTTTTGCCAACTGAAATTGGTTTCAGCATCCATGATGGTTACTAGGATGTAAGTAACTCCAGTAGAGTTGCTAAACTACATGATAGTAAGATTTGCCGTATGAAATTCTGATACCCTTCAGACAGTTCTAAATAATGGTCTTGATATTTAAGTTTTGCTTACGCTGCTAAGGGATGTGGAGACATCCCCTGCTGATTAGTTTTAATTTACCACCACACCTTCCCTCTGAATCCCTTTCGAGCAGGAATCCCTTGCTCTTCCACTTGGATGAGGCCATGGACCCTCTGACTTCTCTTTGTGACTGTCACAGATAACTGGCATACGTAAGATGTCCCACATGCTCAGCAGGCAGTTAGGATGACACAGTATTCCTGTTGCATTGGGCTCTTAACCGATAGCATCTACGCTTGAAGTGTGGTTTCCCCATTCTAATTTGCCAAAGCATCCATGAACAAAAAATGGGAAACGGCAGTTAGCTTATGAGTCAGCTCTATCCTAATTTCCTGCAAAGCGGTTATGCTTATATTAAAGTTCTTTCTTGTTAGCTTCCTGTTCTCACATCTGCTGATTATAAAGTGTTTCCAAGAGGGGACTCTCAATTGTGTAGTAAACTTTATTTCCCTAGAGTTACCTTTTCTTCCCAAATCCTTGAAGAAGTGGTCTTTTCTCATAGGTTCTGTTTAATTTGCTTTAATGTTTCCCCAATTAAATAGCCATGATACTGTATTAACATCACATGATTCAGTATGATACTAGGGTGAACATTAAATAAATAGACTGAGAAGACTAAATTACTTACAATGTATAGAGGACCTATTTTCAAAATCTATTCAAGTGGTAAAGCAGCTAAAAGACATGTTTTGTCTTCTAAACTTTGCTCTCCTTTTGTGTTTGTGGTATGTCTTCTCTTAACATTTCTGATAAAGCACCTCATTTTATTCTTAAAAATCTTTTATATAATCTTGCTCTCAAGGGAGAAGCTAAAAACAAAGAATGTTTGCGTGTACACTTTTTCTTACAAGGAATCCTTTGACCAACACCTTTGTATTACATTTATGTAGGTTTCCACAAAATATTTTTATTAGTGTTTATAAGAGGTAAATCCTAAGAGGAAATCTTTTTATGACTTTGTATAAGCAAAATGAATGTTCATGAAGATGACCAAAGGCTTGTTATCAGCCCAGTGTCACACTTTATAGTTAAACATTCATTTGTTATTTATAGACCTACTAAGCCCCAGGCACTATGCTAGCTGTTGGGAATATACTGTTAAGAATTTTTAGGTGCTGGTTTTATTTTGGGAACTATTAAATAGTTTTCTACTTCTGTGTAAAATTTGAAAAAAGACCTCTAGAATACCTGATACTGTTTTCACTTCTACATAGAAATCAAGGTTATTCGTATCTGTGAATAAGCTGGATTTTTTTTTTTTTTGCCAGCATCCTATTACTAGCTGCCCTTTAAGTACTCACGTTAAAAGGGCATGGATAGTTCTTAAGATGTGGACGAAAATTCCATTAACCAAAGGAGCCTCTAGATGCCTGGATTTATAAAGCAAGGATATTGGCACTGCAGGGGCAGAGAATTGTTTAATGTGGCTATTCTAGCCAAAGTTTCTTAACTCCCATCAAACCTTTGGTCTGATAAGAAGGCCGGGGCTGGGGAGATATGGATAGAATTTGCCTGTAATTGTGAACAGGATTCCCTGCAATACCATCCTGCTGAGTATGAAATGAGCCCCTGAGAAGTAGGCAGAGGAATCTCATTACCAGCAAGAGTCAGATTGGAGCGCTTTTCTTGGACCAAAGATTCCAGCACAGTGAACTTCCTGGATCTCGAATCACATCAGAGGGGCAGCTGTAGAGCTTGGAGGCAGAGCATGAGACAAAGTGGTGGGCTTCCCAACCCGCAGAGCAAATGAAGCTGAGTGCTTGTGTGCAGGAAGCTGGCGGGTGGAGTGGGTACCTCTGGACACTGCGATGGGCAAGTTGGGCCTGCTCACCTACAGAGGTGGGGCTGAGTGCCTTCATGCTGAAGCTTACTGGAGTGGGGCGGCTCTGGGTATTTATTTAATCCAGGAAGTTGAACTTCACTAACCTATGGAGCTGGAGCTGAATGCCTTTGGGTTGGGGCTGACAAGGGAGTGGTATGTATGCCCCTGTGGGCGATTATTAGCAGCCCTGAAAGAATTCAGTCATATTTCCTGGTAAACCAATCAATCCTGAACATTTCTCACTGGCATTACAACTTTTTTTTTTTCATCTCTATTTAATCACATTTTCAACATGCAGCCAAGAATGAAGCTTTGACAGTAAGTCATACATTTACAGAGGCAAGCATTGTCAATTTTCTGCAGGGACAACCCTGAGATAACACAAGAAAGTTGGATATTTACTTTCTTGCCTTTATTTCCTGTAGAACAATAAAAAAATATTGAATTCACTTGCCATAAATGATTGAAGTTACTGCCTTTAATTTTGCTTAGTTATTGCACACACAAGAAACAACAAAGCAAGCCAGACAGTTCTTTAATTAGATTGCTACTCATAGATTTTTAAAGACCACGGTGATGACAGAATTGGTACATTTTGCCATCATACACCTGCTTATGAGAACAAACGTTAACACTGAGAGGATTTACGTGTAACACGGATCATTTGCCGTGTGGGCAAACACTTCTGCGTTATTCAGAGCCAGCATCCGCATATGGCCCCAGAGGGACCCTGGGCAGATCTTTCTGAGTTCTCATTAAACAGTTGAAACACAGACACGATCGAACATAAAGCTAACCCATAGCGAACAGACACAAACGTGAGGTAAATACTATGGGCAAAATTAGGGTGCTTGGTAGGTTAAAAGCCAAACTGTATTTCTGATAAGCTTTTCCTTCTGAGAATATGTAAGAGGTGAAACTATTAAGTGCTAGAAGAGGCCACAGAACCTAGCAGCTGTGTGTCCTTGCATCCTATGAGCCCAGTGGCCTGATGCTCCCCTGCAGCATGTGCAGCCTTTCCAGGCATCACTTCGGAGACCCACGGGGCTGCCCTGCCATGGCTGCGACAGTGCTATGATTCTCATTTTCCTTAAATATTAACTGCTCCAACGACAGTTGTTTTTGTCTATATTACTCATACAATACCCTTTGTACTTTTTTCCTATACCCTGGGGAGCTATGGCAGACCTCTTTTAAGCCACAGTAATAAACTTCTATTAATTCTGTTTTAAATTATTTTCCTAAGACATCTATACTTACAATTCTCTGACCTAATCACTGAAGACCAACTCTGATTAACAGAGTTAATTAAAACAGGCATTACAACTTTTTAACTTCCTTAATAAACCCTTTAATCGTTCATTTTGCTTGTGGGTTCTATGTAACCATTGCAACGGATATTAGAACCCAGCAAGTGAAACAGACCATTAAGACTGCTTAGGTACCCACACCCTCCCTTGGAAAAACTAAAACTGAAATTCATGGCCTAAGTTAAAATATGTAGTTGTCTAAAGAAAGCTAAAAGCTTATTTCCAACTATGAAAAGGCATTTTGTAGAGCACAATTCATTTATTAAACTGTTATTAGAATAGACAGGTGGCTTCTTTAAGTAGCTTAGGGATTGTGGCATTGAAGCAATAGAGAAGGAAAGATAAATCCTAGAATTCTGGACTTAGCAGAATTGTGAGGGTAAAAATGATTTTCGTGTACTCATGAGTCAGTACCAACTCATAGCAACCCTATATGACAGACTTGCTCCATAGGATTTCCCAGGTGGTGTGTTTGGCTAAGTGCTAGACCGCTAACAGGAGTTGGTGCTTCAGACCCCTGAGAGAGATGTAGCAGTCTGCTCTGTAAAGATTACAGCCTTGGAAACCCTGCAGAGTTACGGTTTGGCTTTTGAAATGGTTATTAGAGTGGACAGCCAGGTCTTTTCTGCCATGAGCCAACTGGAATTGTTCAAGGCACCAATCTTCCTGATAGTGCTCTTTACGATAGTTCAGATTCTAGATTAATCCTCTATCCAGTGGACAAAAAGTACTACAAAGGTACTATTTTATCCTCTATCCTATTATAATTCTTGAAGAAAAAAATTATTGCAACCCAGTAAATTGATTTCATCGCCAGATCATTGAGATAAAGATAAAGCACAAAGGTTGATAAGGTGTGAACTGTTTGCCTTTTCTGCAGGTGTAAAATAAGTTGCTAGTGTTGATTTTCTCTCTCTTCACAGGACATTGGCTCTCTGGATTATCAGGAGCGTGTAGTTGACATTGAGGCCAAGCTGAGGATGGAAGGTGTGGAGCTTAAGGAAGAATGGCAAGATGAAGACTTTCCGATGTGAGCAATGTCGTCAAACAAAAACAAATTACAAACAAAACTGTAAAAGGTTACTTACTGAGGAATGTTGGGCTCCTTAAAGAAACTTGGTGTTACAAGGTGGTCATTGAAATATGAAGGCGTGAAAGCAACAACGTTCCAACATGTAGAATTATTTTGTATCTTAATTTTGAACAATATTTATATACTCTGACCCGTCATTTTCCTTGTGAACATTTAAGCTTCAAGATTGTAGCTATTGCTGACATTGCTTTTTAAACTGGAATCTGAGAGGTTCCAGAGAGGATTGACGGGGGAATAGTGGGGAGGGGGTACGGGGAGGTGGGGGGTGGGGGGTGGGGAGCTTATCTACACAAACATTGAGTTTTGTGTTTTTATCTAAAATCAAAACTTTAGAAATAAACATGTTTGTGTTTAAAATTGTGTTGGCACCAGGTGGGTTTATGTAAAACAACAAAGTCAGACTTTACATTTAAATCATGCTTGCTTGCCACCAGGGTCAGAAGATACCCCAGCACACCAAACGGTGCCTTAACTTAGCATTTGGAATATGGACAGCTGGTGGGAGAACTGAGTCATTGCGTAGCACATGATGGTGCTAGCAGTGTAGGAAAGCTCAACTCAAAGACTTGTAGCAAGTATCTTTGTGTATGTCTTCTAGACCTTTACCAGAAGATGACAGTATTGACGCAGATACACTCGCTGTAACTGGACTGGCGGACCAGCCTGGTAAGAACATGCTTGTAGCTCCAGTGAAGTGACAGACTTTGTGCTATTTTTGAACACATTTCTTTTTAAAGGGGAAAAAAATGTACTATGTTTATTTCATTGCAGGGAGGCAAAGGATAAATTAAACTCCCAGGCAAGCATTTTTAGAATATTTTAGATATTTTTAGAAATTGAACTTCCCCAAAATATAACTTTCATTTTTTGAAAGTAGTACAATAAAGAGCTGGTTAGTGGTAGTCAGTTTCAGTAGTGACAGGTAACTAATTATATGGACTCCTTCTAATATTTGAAAAGACATACCCACATTAAACTATCTCATTGGTCTCCTGCCCTGGTGGAGAAGCATTGGTATTCAAAATTCAAATTGTGTAAGTTAACCAGTGCAGCAGAATTTGGTTTAATTAATGTTACTGAGCTCTGGTGGCATGTTATACAACTGCTAACCACAAGGTCAGTGGTTCAAACCCACTAGCCACTCCGCAGGGGAGAGATGAGGTTTTCTGCTCCTGTAAAGATTTTAATGCCTCAGAAACCCACAGGGGTGGTTCCACTCTGTCAGACCGACTAAATGGTAATGAGTTTTAAGTTTTTTTCCTTTAAGAATTAAGTGATTACATGTTTCCACTTAGCCAACTTGAGCATCTAAACATTCCTTCTAATATTCTTTCACTTTGTTTTCCATTCCAGACACACTAGAAGTTAATGGAAACAAAGTAAGAAAGAAACTAATGGCCCCAGACATTAGCCTGACACTGGATCCTAGCGATGGCTCTGTGTTGTCGGACGACTTGGATGAAAGTGGGGAGATTGACTTAGATGGCTTAGATACGCCGTCCGAGAACAGCAATGAGTTTGAGTGGGAAGGTAAGGCTTGCCCTGCTTTGATCTGATTTCTGTTCAAGAGCGACTATCTTTCTGAGCATGTTTTACAGGGGCATTCTCATGTTGGGAACAGTATAAAAACTTAAGCCTGGCTCATAATACCAACTCAAATCGTTGTATTAAGGAGTTTATACATTTATTGATAAAATAAGGAATTTTAAAAGAAAAAAAGGAATTTTGCTAAAAACCCTTTTTCTCTAGGCTTCCAAAACTATGATTTTACACAGTGGCTTTATTTTTCTTGTTTGCTTTTAATTGTCCCAGGGCCATAGGTGGTTCACGATTGCTGGAAAAAACTTGCTTGATACTTTTTGCTTTCATGATCATCTAAGAAAAGTGAAACTAAAAGCAACCTTTAGAAAAACAATTCCACTAGTGAATCTGCTAAAAAGTAGTTGAGGATTTGGGGAAAGAGGCCTCCTGATGGAGGGAGCTTTGGGGAAAGTGTTTTTTAATGGGTTGGGCTAGCAGTCCTGTGCTTTGTGAAAAAGACTAGCTTGTGATAATATTGTTAGCCGCCAGCCTGTAATTTCCTCTTATAAATTATTTGGGATTCAAAGAAATGGGCATGTGTGCTGCTTTGCTTGCCTTCTTAGATAATTGCTGTCGGCAGTATCTTTATATACATAGTTATAAATCATTTAAATTCCATTAATCGTTTTTACCTAAAATGATTTTTACACCAAAGCATTGTTTAGCATTAGGTATCTGCAGTAAAAAAGTAAGATTCTTGTTAGATCTTTTGTATCTCTTTTCTCCCTATTTTGCTGGTTCAATAAGCATTCCAGTAATAAACAATATTTTATAAAGATACTGAAATAGTTTTCTGCCTGTGTTTTGTCTCTTCTTTCCTTAATGCTACTGTAGTCATTTCCTGGAAGGATATTTTCCGTTAACAGCTTTGTCTTGGAGACAAACAACTAACATGCAGTAGGCTCCCCTCCCCCATCTTTTGGTAAGGACTCATACTAAAGTGGTGAAAATCGTTACTTCATTCAAAATCCGCTAACATGCAATCTTAAAACATAAATTGCACCTAACTCTCGGTGCTTATGTTTGGGCTGATGTTGATTTTAATGTCCTTTTTTGCATGTACAACTTGGAATACTGTAAAAAAATTTCTCTATAAACTGATCAAATGAGAAATGATTGTTGTCGGTTAACCACTTTCTGTCTGATATTGTACAATTTGGATAATAATTTATGGCCTCAACAAAAACAATCAGCTTCCCGGTAGTTTAGCCACAGCTGTAACTGTTGAGGACAGCGTTTTGAAAAGTAGACTTCAGAAAGCTATTACAAGGACCAGCACACTGAGATTTTGATGGTTGTAGTGATCTGGGCTTACTGGATGTTCAGGATAAGGTGCCTTGCTGTTATTAAGCAATAAAAGTATTAAAGGAAGCATGATATTCACAAGCCATTAATTGGCCTGGAACTTGAAGCAAGCCTTTCTTCCTGTTACAAAATAGCTAAAATCCAGCAGCTGGCATAAAGAAAATCGTTTCAAATAATCAAACCAGATAGTAAAGTGGTTAACTTATCACTTAATTTTTATTGTGAAAATAGCAGTTTATGATTTTAAAAACCTTTCTTTTTAACAGATGACCTTCCAAAACCGAAAACTACTGAAGTCATCAGGAAAGACGCGATTCCTGAGCACGCAGCTGCAGAGGAGAAGGAAGACGGGCGGCGCTGGCGTCTGTTCAGGATCGGGGAGCAGGACCACAGGGTCGACGTGAAAGCAATCGAGCCCTATAAAAAGGTCATCAGCCACGGAGGTAACGGTTACCAGTGACTGCGCAGAGGTTTCACACCCGGCCAGAGATCGCGTGTTTATAGAAAACTTCTCTTAAAGTACTATGTAATTTTGAAAGAATAATAAATAGTTCTCCTATCATTTTAGGAATATAACAACTTGAAGGAAAAGGCTCAAACCAATATTTTAAAAATACATGCATTTAGTAGATTCAAAAGTATATAAGGATATGCAGTGAAAGTTGTCTCCCTCTGACTCCTTTCTTTTAGTTACTCAAAATTGGGACTTTATTCTTTCCTTTTTTTACTGAGGTATTATAATCTGTACACAGTTCAGTGAGTTTTTACACCTATCCATACACATAGATCCCACAATTGTAAAGAAACAGAACTTTTTTATTGACCCAGAAAATTTTCTAATACCCTTTCTCAGTGAGTTGCCCTTTCCAATAACTGTTACTCTAATGCCTAGCTCTATGATTGATTTTGTAGGTTCTAGACGTGTAAAGGGGAGGTTTACTTGGACCATCTGTTGTCTACAGTTTTGCTCACGTGTCTTCAAGGTTTCTCCATGCGGTTGCCTGCATCTGGAGTCCATCCGTTCATTGTGGGGGTAGTCCATGGCACGGCTGAAGCACGGTGTGCGTGTCCGCCCTCTGGACGGACATCCCGGGTGTTTTCAACTTTGGCTGTGACTGCTTTCCCCCATTGCCTCTCCCCTCCCCTGGCCTCCCCTTAACCTTCAAAGTCTACTTCCTTGGATATGAAAACCTTTTTTATTTTATAAAAGTGGTCTCATATAGTGTCTGTCTTTATGAGCCTGACTAACTTTGCTGAACATGGTGACAAGTCTTTCTGTGGATCTACGTAGAATCTTGAACTTTGTGTAGAACCTGTATCCTAATAAAATACTGAACAAATCAGCTCTTCCACAAAGGAGAGGGCTAGTTCATTTCACATTTTTTGTTGAGCATTTCCTTTGATGTTTTGGGGTTACACAAAGGTATGTGGCATGCCCTTTGCTTAAGAAATGTGTAAGTCAAATGGGGAAAGTTCTGGAAGTCCTTGTTGTAGCTGTTGTGAGTCTCGCTATGTCATGGATAGACGCTTACCTGGTCACTGTGTCAGTACTGCCAAAAGTTTAGTGGTGAATCAAACAGACTGACTGCCTAAAAACATTAAACTGTAAAACGTTGTGTTCTTATATGTAAGGTTTTTGTTTTGTTGTGCTTTGCTTTGTTTTCTAAGACTGGCTTTTTAAAAGTCATTCTTACAGGGGCTGGGTGGCCACTCAATGTGTCCTATTACCTGATAGAAGGGCACATGGGTTAAGCAGCTTGATTTTTTTTAAATTTCATTATGTAGAGTGCATTTCTACTTAATTTACTTTCTACTGAATGCATCCCCCTGCTTATTTGTACAGTCTTCATTCAACTGAAAGCAAGTCATGTGAACATTTGTAGTCACAGTCTTCTGCCTAACTAAGGCAGTCAGATTCTGATGAAGAATCCAGAGTAGTCGTGGTCAGGGAGTCCACAGTTGCACACTCATCCCGCTCTTCAGAGGAAGCCGGTTGGGAGACCTGAGTCGTGGGCAGGGAGTCCACAGTTGTGCACTCATCCCGCTCTTCAGAGGAAGCCGGTTGGGAGACCTGCCTTAAGGTGTTCAGACTGAATGGCTTTCAAAGTGGTACTTTTTTTTCTCTAAAAGGAAAATAATTAAGGCTATCTTATCTTACTGAATGATTACATTCAGTGTGTTTTGTGACTGCAGGATTTAGAATGATAGTAAAGATGCTAATGTGTTTGAAATGTACCTTTAACAATAAAAATGAAGATTGAAGCCAAAATATGTTACTGGATGCAAGTTACTGATATAGTATCTAGAGATTATAATTTCTTAGAATAATTCTGTGTCGGATCATCTTTTCTTAGGTTTAGTAGTTTACGTTCTACACAATGCTAGGCATTGTTGAATAGAAAGCTGTCTTTTAAAAAGTATCCACTTTAACCATAAATTGTATAAGAATACCTAATAAAAATCCACATGTTGGCCGGTTCTGCTTAGATTGTCTATTTGTCTGCTTACTAAAATCAGAATGGCTTTTTAATTCATTTTGATGTTCACCTTCTTTCCTCCTCAGCCGTTATTTTTCTGGGAAGAGGAGATTTAAAGATTTGCATAAATATATAAGGTTCATAAGTCAGACTTGACAGCAGTGGGTTTTGTTTTGTGTTTTTATAAGATTGCATAAAGTGAAAGGGCTACTTTTTGTGATCCAGAAGTTTGTGGAAGTTAAACCACGATAATCTATCAATCATGCAGATTCCTGTAAAAATTCTTCACAGTGGTTAATTTTGTGTCTCATCCCTTCTCCCTCAGGATATTATGGGGATGGATTAAATGCCATTGTTGTGTTTGCTGTCTGTTTTATGCCTGAAAGCAATCAACCTAACTACAGATACCTGATGGACAATCTCTTTAAGTAAGTACATCTTCACAAAAATATTTGAATAGAAATCTAAGCTAATTAGAGTTCCAGGTTAAGTAGGTGAACTTTAATGACGTAAAAATTATAAATGCGCAGTTTTAAGTGTATAAATCCTCCTTCCCTGCCTTATGAAAGTGTAGTTTTTCCACTCTACAGAACAAATGATTTAATGCTGAGCCTGCACAGAACATGGACAGTAGAAGACGTGAAGTCTGAACAAGTGACTTGGGGTGCCCTGGTGGTGCTGTGTGTCAGGCATGGGGTGTGCAGGTGAAGCCCACCAGTTATTGCAGGGGAGAAAGACGAGGCAGTCTCTGACACTTTACGGAAGCTTGATCACTCTGAGTCAGCATCCACTGGATGGCAGTGTGTCTGTGGTGCTGGTGGCTTAGTGCTCAGTTCCACCGGGGGCTTGGTGCTTTGGACCCCCCAGCAGCTCTGCTGGAGAAAGATGTGGACGTCTGTTTCCTAAAGATTACCTATGTCTACTCAACGTCTGTTTCCTAAAGATTACCTACGTCTACTCAAGGACACCAGGTTAGCGGGTCTGGGTTCATCTTGGTCATTTGTTTTTGCAGATACGTTATTGGCACTTTGGAACTGTTAGTAGCAGAAAACTACATGATAGTTTACTTAAATGGTGCAACAACTCGAAGAAAAATGCCCAGTCTGGGATGGCTTAGGAAATGCTATCAGCAAATTGATAGAAGGTAATGTGAATACAAGTTAAAGTCAAACTGAATAAGTTTTACATTGGCTTTAATTAGACTTTATTTTCTGTTCCTACTTAACACCCATGTATCCACTTCCTAAATTACATTTGTTCATTTCATGATAGGGTTTACTTTCTCAAAAGAGTATTTTAGAATGTCATAAGGGAAATCAATTTTTATCTCCTTGAATCCTTCAATATCTATGCAAAAACTGTTTCTCTTTATACTACATTGAGCTCTGCGCTGTTCCTACTGTTCCAGTCTTGGGAAAGGTTGGAAAATTCTTACATTTCCTGTTCTATTGCACCCTCTGAGTGCCTTCAGCAGCGCTTAGCATATTGATATTCTGTTAGAAGTGCCTGTTCCATGGTGCCCTTGGTTAGGACGAGACCTAGGGAGGGGGAAGGAGGTCGATCTCTTTTCTGCGACAGAGAAAGAGCCGTGAACCCTCCCGTCGGTCTGCTGGGGCCATGAAGCATTTACACTCGTCTGAGCCACTCGGGACCCAGTCAGTAGACTTCTTTCCTTCTTTAAGAGGATATGAGCAGTTCTTGTGGGGTTTTATTTTGTTGTTTTGGTCTGGGGTTTCTTTTAAGTCATTTTATTGGGAGTTCGTACAGCTCTTACAACAATCCATACATCAGTTGTATCATTCGCATTGGTGTATAAGTTGCCATCATTTTGAAAGCATTTTCTTTCTATTTGAGTCCTTGGTATCATCTCCTCTTTTTTCCCATCCCTCCCCTCCCCTCTGACCCTTGTGAACCCTTGATAAATTATAACTAATTGTTATTTTCATATCTTAACACCGTCCACTGTCTCCCTTCACCCACGTTTTTGTTATCTGTCCCCCTCTGGGGGTGGGGGGTGGGGCGGTCATGGGGATTATACGTTGATTATTGGGATCGATTCCCCCTTCTCCCCACACCTTTCCCCTACCCTCATGGTATTGTTACTCCCATTACTGTACCTGAGGGGTTTATCTGTCCTGGAGTCCGTGTGTTGGGAGCTCTTATCTGTTCCAATGTACATGCTCCGGTCTAGCCAGATTTGTAAGGTAAAACTGGGTCATAATAGTAGGGGGAAGGGAACATAAAGAACTTGAGGAATGTTGTGTGTTTTGTCAGTGCTATACTGCACCCTGACTGACTTGTTTTGCCTTTTTTAATCTTTAATGGCCACTTTACTTCTCCATGAAAATATTTTTAAGTTTTTACACAGCCATTTAAAAAAGAAGAGGCCACTCTCTCACTGTCTCACTGCCTCACACACTCACTCTCTGCCTCACTCTCTCACTCACTGCCTCACTGCCTTACTCTCTCACTGTCTCACTGCCTCACTCTCTCACTGCCTCACTCTCTCACTGCCTCACTC